GGGGGGGAGCGGGGAAAGGGAGGAGGGGGAGAAGTGCATAATTGAGTACTCCACTCGACTATCCAATAAGCTTATGCTTATCGTGTAGTTGAGTAGTCAACTACTGTCTGACATAGAGTGGAGTCTCAGTAATGTCTGAGGTCTTTCTTGTGTGTTCTTAACTAATTCTCAGTACAACAGGCAGAAATTAGAATAATTTAAAAAACAACAAATAGTCTAGTAGCACCTTACAGATTAACAAAACATGTAGATGGTATCATGAGCTTTCGTGGGCACAGCCCACTTCTTCGGATGACTGGAGTATTAGAAGTCCAGATCCAGGAATAAATAAGAGAAAAGGGGGGCGGGAGGCGGGGGAAAAAAACAGAGAGGGGGAAAAAAAGAGAGATACAGTGAGTAGATGGTTCAGGTAGTTACAAGAGGCTGATAACCAACCAATGGAGGTGCTAATTGGTTCTTAACTCATTAAGCTGTGGAAGGTAGTGTTTGAGCCTGAAACAATGTGGAATTGGCCTGAAACAATACAGTGACTTGGACTCATTAATGGATCTCCAAGTCACCATATTGTATCAGGCCAATTCCAGAAGCCAAATACACAGGGAAGGATTGAAACTTAACTTCATTTACAAGTGCAAATGGTATGAACAGGGATATCGACCAGCTCACACACTACCTTCCACATCCTAATGACTTAACCAACCAACCAACCAACCAACCAAATAATGGAGGTGCTAATTAGTTCTTATCAGCCTCTTGTAACTACTTGAACCATCTACTCTCTCTTTTTCCCCTCCTCCCACCCCACCTTTCCCTTATTCATTCTTGGATCTAGACTTCTAATACTCCAGTCATCTGAAGAGGGTTGCCCCCACGAGAGCTCACGATACCATCTACATGTTTTGTTAGTCTTTAAGTTGCTACTAGTCTATTTGTTGTTTTTTAAGTTTTTCCTGCTATAGACTAACTTGGCTACCCCTCTGAAGCTTTAGAAATTGGAATAACGTTGTTAAAACTCCACAGTTTATCAGGAGTTTAAGATTACTGAAGTAGTCAGACTTCTGATTAATGCAAATATGTGGCCGAGGTCTGTGAAAGCAGCCAGTGTGTTAAGCATCTGGATTGTACTAAAAGTGACACATTGTTAGTGAGTTAAGTCAGCAAATACACTGTCTGCACTTTATGCAATCTTGGAATTTCCTTTTGCTTGTGGTCTGTGTTTGGGCAAAAAGTCAGGTTGTTGTCCCAATTAAGTGTTTTTATAGTCGTGTTTGGGTAAGAAATATACGTCACCTCACGCAGTTTTTTTCTGTGCAAAAATCAGGGGAGAATGAGTGTAATGTGAATTTTCTTAACATTTAAAACACAAAATCTAAGGCAGTGTTTTAGAATAATGCATTTTAGAATTTCACCAGTAGATTGATGGGGAAAAAAAAGGTCCCTTCTTCAGTTCAAAGCATGTGCAGCTGGATGAATGCAAGCCCCTGAATGGAGTGTCATTGAGGGAACATGTTGAAATACCAGCATTATGCTTTGCATCTGTGAAAAGACCCACGTGAGAGGAGGCAAGGAAAAATCTTTTAGTATGGTAGCTCGGAACAGCCAAAGAACTGTTGAGGATAAATTATGTTTTATTTATGTTCTGTCTACTGGACAAGCTGCTGACTTGCACTGAAAAATCCTGGATACAGTGATTGGCATGTGCAGTCAGAGGATTAGGATGAAAACAGGTCTGCTCCCTCATATTTTTTGTAAAATCTCTCAAAGTTTTCATAGAGAACCCAAGTATTATTAGTTTAGCCCCTTTTCCCCAAACTGTACTAATGTGCCTACCTAGCCAAGCAGTACTACAGAGGGAATTAAGCAAAATATCTGACACATTGTTTCTTTATCCTCTGCTACTTTTTACCCCCCTCCCCTCCCAAACAAAAATCTGTTGTAATTTTCATCACAATAAAACACATAAATTAGGCGGTTCACTCAGGAATTTTAAACATATTGAATCTAGGGGTGTGAAAGATTGACTGGTTAACCAGGAAGCATCACCCTTAATGGGTGATGCTTGCTCTTTCCGGTTAACCAGTGGGACGCTGGAGCAGCTCCCCGCCCACTATGGGCAGGGGGGCTGCTTCAGCTCTGCAGGGCCCTGACATGTTGGGGACAGGGGCTGCTCCAATCCAGCCATGGCAGGGGGCAGGGCTGGACTCTATCTCAGGTGGTATAGAGTGCCCTCCCCTTTGGTTAACTGGTTAAACTTCACATTTAACCAGTTAACCAATTACACAGGATTTTACATCCCTGCTGTGGAAGGGACAGGCTTTGGCAGGGGAGAGGCATCAGGAAAAAGCTCCAGCAGAGGGAGGCAGCAAGACACTATTCAGTGTAGCATTGTAGATGTAGGAGGCACTATTTAAGCTGTGAAGTTCCCATTTTGCTACTTACACCCCACTAAACTAAATCAATATGTTGAGACAATAAACATATCAATAGCCAGGTCAATATACACTATTCATATGTTATTTCTGAGAAACTCCAAGTCCATTAGAGAGATATCATATAAATCGTGTTCCAGCCACAGAATCATAGGGTAAGAAAGGATCACAAGAATCATCTACTCTAACCCTTGGCCAAGATGCTGGATCTGTTGTGTTTAAATCATCTAAGACAGATAGGTATCCATCTTCCTTTTGAAAACCTTTAGTGAAGGAGCTTTCACAGCCTCCTTAACATAGCAGTTTGTTCCAATGTTCTACTGTTGTTACAGTTAGGAATTTTTTCATTAGATTTAATCTACATCTGCTATGCTGTCGTTTGAATCCATTGCTTCTCATGCTGCCCTCCATGTCAAGAGAGAACTTTTCTCCTTCTTTTTGTGGTGGCCTTTTAAGTATTATGTTCTTGTCATGTTATTGGATTCTAAAGATCACTGTTCACCCATGGGTGGGGGGGTGTTTGCCCCAAAAGTCTATACAAAGGAGGCCATGTGAGGTGTCTACTGATTCTGATGTTCTGTGTTCTATGTTCTACTGATTCTGTACATGCTATTCATGTACTTGTATAATATCTTTATGTGGAGTTATAAATATGTACTGTGTTGATGCTGGAAAATTCTCTGTCTGAGACAGAGCAATGGGCAAAGAATTTTCAGCCAATGGCTATGTTCATTAGCAAGGAGACAATGAATCTCTAGGTGCCAATACACACCTGAGGAATGTGACTGATACCTGCAAACCAGCTGGGGTATAATGGCTGCCAGCATGTGAAACAGAGAGAGGTCACTCGACCATGTGACCTGCTCTGGCCAGCAGGATGCCAGGAGAGGTATATAAGTGCCATGTGGCACCCTCTATCTTGTCTTCAGTTCAGCTCCTGATCCCAGATGCAGCCTTGCAGGGAACAATGAGCCGGAAAGAACCGTGGACCCATCCTGACATAGGCTGTACACCAGAGACTTATAAGCAGTGCTCGACAAATAATGCAATCTACTCGCCTATGGCAAGTAGATTGCAACCCGGAAGAGCCGGGTTTGGGTGATCTGCGCATGCAGATCACCGGACAGTGCGGCTGGCGAGTGGGGCTCACCACGGTTCGGCAAGCCCTGCTTATAAGATAGCAGTTTATAACATCTCTGCTAAGAGCCTGCATTGAGATCTTGGTGATTTGATGCATGTAATGTATTTTCTTTAACAAGCTTACTTTCATGCTTTTCTTTCCTTTAGTAATAAACCTTTAGATTTTAGATTCTAAACAATTTGCTCAGCGTGATCTTGTGGGTAAGATCCAGAATGTAAATTGACTGGGACCTGTGGCTGATTTCTTGGGACAGGAAGAACCCATTCGGGGTACGTGAGATTGGGTTCTATAACTTCTCACCTGTGTGTTAGGCCCGGGGCTGATTGGGTCACAGGAAGAGCTGGGGTGACAGAGGGGTTTTAGAGATTGGTTTCTAAATCCCTCACTTATGTATGAGGCCTGGGGCCATCTGGGGCACGGATATTGCTGGGGTGTCGTAGGGGTTTTGCTTGTGAGGCTGCTGGCTGGCCAGGCAGGCAGCTGAAGTGCTCTGTGGGATTGGTTTGTGGCCTATTTGGAAAGGTCTCCAGTCTGGGGGGCTATAGAGAGCCCCGAATTTGAGCAATTTGCCCTGAGCAAATGCCCTCAGCTGTGCCCAGACCCAGCCCGGTCTGTCACAGTTCCCACCTTAATGGCCTCTTTTTCAAACTAGCCATACCCAGTTCCTTCAGCCTTTGCTAATACGGCTTATACTCCATCCCTTTTATCATCTTTGTTGTTCACCTCTGTATCCTTTCCAGTTTCTCCACATCCTTTCTATACATCCCATCCTTATTCCACAGTTAAAAGCTAGAACAGTGGGGAAAGACTATGTCAGAAGGAAAGTCAACATGGAAAGGCTCCTGCAACTCCTTGCTGCTGGGCCTTTTCATGATGCATGTTTGCCATCAGACTTTTACTGTAGTGTGTAGCTACCTGTCTCTTGCTGTGGCACAGTTACATGTATAGTGCCTGTCCTCTAAACGCCACAAGAAGTGCACACAGCCTCTGAGGATGAAATGGGAAGAAGAATGGGAGACTGAGGAAAGAAGTCTTAGGTCTTTTAAAATGAGTTAATGCAGTGCACTTACTGACAGCTCAGAATATTTCATAGTCTGATCAGTATCAGGTAAATGCATACAAATACAGTTTCTACCATCTCTTCTTCACAGAAATTGAGCTCAATTCTTCTCTGATTAATAGTGATGTAAAGCCAGAATAACCACAGGTGAAAGTAAGCAGGTGTGCCCAGGTGTGCAGCTCTAGCAAGAGCTGGCTGAGCTGTGGCAAAAGCCATCAGGGAGCTATTTAAAGAGCTGGCAGAGACCCAGGTTGTAATAAGATAGTACCTGTAAGAAATTTTAAATTACTTTCACCACTGAGAATAACTACTTAAATGTATGGAGTAACTGGATTTTTCCCAGTAAAAATGAGAGAATTGGGCCCACTAAAAATAAGCTATATATTTTAAGGATGTTATATTGCAATTATCTGGCTCATCATGTAGTCAATACAATTTGTATTGACTGCATGATTAATCGGTAAGGGCCTTTCTGCAGAGCCGCAGGCAGTGGAAGTAACTCCAGGAGCTGGCTCAAGCTGGGACTGAGCAGTCCTGGCTCATGATGACTCCAGGAGCCACCTGCACTGTGTCTGCATTTTAAATGTAATAAGAGTTGCTAGGGAGGCTCTGTCCATGGGAGGGCCAGCCTCTGCTATCCCTACCCCCGCTGCCTTTGATAGAGGCAGTGGGGGACAGGTGGCACGACAGAGATGGTGCTGGTAGGAACTGGCTTTTAAGCTGGCTCCCCCAGCACCAGCTCCTCTTCCTCCCCCCACCACACTGCCCCTCATAGAGGAAACAAAAGTGGGGAGGAAAGCAAGTAATCAATATGCCAGTTGACTACCCAATAAGCTCATGCTTATTGACATCCCTAATATATTTACATAAATGTAGACTTTGTGTCATGTGATTCAATTTATTTTAGATCCAAGGGAAACCAGGACGCTCAAGGGATACTTAACCACTTTCTTACTTATTGCAAGCTTTAAGCAGTCACGTTTTACAAGCCTTAAAAACAATTACAATAAATTTGAAAGCAATTAATACAGCATAAAGCAATTAATAGAAAATCTACTATAGACCTAGGTCACTTACACTTCACCCGTATGCTACCTACAATACCACGCAGGAGGTAGTGGTTCCTTTTCTTCCCACACAATGGAACGCCATGCACTGGGTCACCGGTGTGAAGAGCCTATTTACTTCTAATTACATTGAACAGGACCTGGGGTCAGTCCTTGCCCATTTTCTGCCATCGATTGTTCTTACTAAGCTCATTTTATAGCAAAGTGAGACTTGGTTGTTCTAATACTATTTATCAATTGGTTATGTATTGTGTAGGATGCCCAATACCCTACTTAGGGTACATCCTACTGCCCAACTGTGTAGTTGACAGTTTTATGACTGCATCTGTAATTTTTGCTTATCAGAAACAGAAGTACCAGTACAAGGTTGCTTGTTGTGTGTTTGACGTGGTCTCGTGTACCATGCTTAATCTGCATTGTTATTCAAAACATTCCTGCCTCCCAAACCTTGCCTGCGTACTTATGTGCATCAGACTTGAGAGAGGCCTGGGTTTTGCTTTTTAGAGATCTGCACTGTGGACAAGGCAGACATCACCATTTATTGCCAAGGCAGGGTAGTCTAGGCTCCCCCACACTTTGGAAGTAGTACAGGCTGGGATGGGTAAAATATCAAGCTACTTAACAGCTGCTTTAAACAATTTTAGGCTCTTTCTGTAGTTGCCTTTGTAGTATCTGATCATCTCATTTTTAATTAATTTTTATTTTTTAAACATACCTATGAGTCCAGGAAGTACTATTATCATCTGTATTATGGATGGGGACCACTGAGATACAGAGGGACAAACTATATTTTTCATGGTAATGCAGGAAGCTTGTGGTAGTGCTTGTAGCTGAAATTTGTTTGTCCAAACCACAGCTTAGTCCAGTGATTACAGCCCTATCTTTCTTCTGTTCATGATAGGAACTCTGGCACAAAAGTTGATCCCTAAATGCCCCCAAGAATCTGCTCTGGAACCCATTGAAATCAGTTGGAGCATTTCCATATGTTTTAGATCTGGGCCCAAATGGTTGCAAGTCATTTTCTGATGACTTATTTATTTTTGTTTGCACCGAAAAAGGTATGCATAGTCATTTAATAAATGGAAATGAATTTTAACTTATGGAAATGCTCCAACTGACTTCAGTGGGTCACATATCTTATAATAGTAAGATATGTGATTCTTATTCATATATCTTTGTGGTTTTATTACTGTTACAGTGGAAAATGTCCGGTTTGTAACCAACACCTGGAAACCATTCATTTGAATGAAGAAGAATACAATATACTCAAGGCAAAAATAATAAAAGATGTGATCCAGGGAACTGATGTATTCAGGAAGACTACTCCTCAGGTAGGTCTCAAGGGCTTTCAGGTTAATTGACTGGAGAGTCATAAGTAACTAATGTTTAATAGTTTTAAGACCTCTAATTTATTTTTTCAACTCTTAATTTTATATTAAGGAATTTTTGAAAAGTTGTGATGCTAACATTATAAATCTTCAATGATTTATAGTAAAATGTATTAGAAAATTCATGTTGACATTGTGCTTATCTTCTTGGTTTGTTCTTAATCTCACTCATCATGGCTGTATTCTTCAATTCCTTTAGTATCGCTTTAATTTTTGTCCTAATTAATACAAATATTTGTGAGTTTCCAATATTTTGCCTATATTTTTTCCACAATTTAATTAGTGAGTCCAAGTGCTGAAGTCTCTGTTCCTCTCTTCACTCTCATCTGTATAATTGGTAATTCAAGAAGAGGATATGTGGCCTGGAAGATTGCATTTTTAGTAGTAAATGTTTATAGATGTCAACTTCCCTCCCCCATCCCCCACCAAAAAAAAAAACCAATGGAGAAACATTAGATGATTCATAACTGAAATTTTCACAGGGAAGTTAAAAAATACCTAGGTTGCCCATGCAAAAATCTGGAAGTCTCATTAAATATTGTTTAATTTCTGAAGCTTATATTTATTAAATCTTGAATGCTAGATTTTTCAATAGTGCAATAGTTTGTCAAAATTAGAAAAGATATTTGAAAATAAATATATTACTTATCAAAAATCACAAAAAATGAACACTAGCTTTGTAGTCCTAAACAAACATATGCTATGGTAATATAATATCTGTAGTGGGAACATCTATCTTTGAATAGGAACCAGTGCATACAACTGAGTTAAAAATGGTACAGTGTGGATAAAATCATGATCAAATGCTCTTCTTATGTTGTCTCTTTTGGCTTTGCTTTGCCAGCCCTTACTTTTCATTATGGGTATGTCTACACCACAGAGTTTTGTCAGAAAAACGGCTGTTTTTCTGATTAAACCTGAGTTACGTCAGAAAAGAGGGATTTTTGTGGTATTGGTATTCCTCATTCTACAAGGACGAAGCCTGTTTGCGAAAGAGTTCTTTTGCAAAAAGGAGCGTGTGGACGGGGAGGACGGCTTTTTTGAGGAAGAAGAGGCCTGCAGGAAAAAGAACAGGTGCCCTCGTGGCCACTCCATGCAAACTAATCACAACTGTGTAGTTCCCGTCTCCTGGCCCCTCTTAAAGCTGCAGGCACCATGAACAAGCCTTGTGGCAGGAAGTTGGACAGAGAGCAGCACCCTGACCATGTGGCTCTCCCTGCCACAGCCATGTCTGCCCCTGAAGCCCCCTGCAGGGAGCAGCCCCAGGGGTCTGAGGACCCACCCCAGGGGGACCAAGAAGCACCCCACCATGGTCAGGCCCAGAGATCCAGTCCCTCTTTGAGGTGTGGGGCAAGGAGGAGATGCTGCAGGATCTCCGGGCCAAACAGCAGAATGCCGACATTCATGGCCAGATGGCCGACTCTCTTGTGGAGTGTGGACACCCACCCCGGATCATGGAACAGGTCCGGAGTAAAGTAAAGGAGCTCCACCAGGGATACGGCTGGGCCTCCGAGCGCAGCTCCCACTCAGGGGCAGGACCCCACACCTGCCCCCACTACAGGGAGCTGCACTGGGTCCTGGGTGCGTCTTCCCCACCTATTCTGGTAGACTCCGGAGTTGAGACCCCCATCATTGTCTGGCTGGAGGTCACACGGAAGGAGGAGCCATTGTCAGCCGGCCATGCCAGAAGAAGGAGGAGGAGGAGGAGATGGGCACCGTGACCCTCGAGCTGGTGCAAGGGAGCCAGGACATCTCTCAGGCTCCCTTGGAAGCTTGGGAGGGATCTTTAGGTGAGTGGTCTCACTTTGTCACGCTCACAGGGTGGGGGAGGTGGGTGCACAGGGGTGGAGGGTGACTGTCACGTGGGTTGCTCGGGCTGGACGTTGTGCTGTGGCCTGTGCATGTGCAACCATGTGCTGCATTAGTGTGTGGCACATGGACGCAGCAGGCAGCCCCTGAGCACGCCCAGGATCCTGCTTCCAGGCTCAGGAGAGGCCACACACATCCTGCCCCAGGAGCGGGGGGGGGGGAGCCCCAGCTGGAAGCAGGTTAGTCACAAGCGCACAGGCATGACCCCACTCAGACCGAGGAGTGCCACATGCAGCACACGGGCATGCCTGCATGTGCGAGACAGCAGCTGCTCCCACCAGGGCCAGCCCGAGCCATTTTGGCGCCCCAGGCCCAGGTGTGCGGCGCTGCCCCCGGGCACACGGCGCATGCATGGGCCCACCCCAGCGAGCCGCACCTGTGTATGCGGACGCCAGGGAGGCTCAGGCTGCTCCTGGCTCCTCTGCCACCCATGAGGGGATCCCACTGTGGCCGGACACTTCCCTTGGCTGCTTGTCCATGGGCCAGGGGTGGGTGGGGGTGGGAAGCGAGGAGCCTGGTCCTCTGGGCACATCGGGGCCCCTGTGAGACAGGGTCTGCTATGCAGGCCACACATGGCCTTGCACCCAGGACATCCCCTCCTCTGGGCTGTGGACTGTTGGTCACTGCTCAGGGGAGGGCACAGCCTCAGGGACAGTGTCTGCAGGGCTGACTGACCGGTTCTCCACAGCCGGGACCGAGGGCCGAGCCACACCACTGCAGCCATCTGCCAGAGCCTGGGGGACACGAAGGCATGCCAGCGTCCAAGAAGACCTGATGAGGCAGCATAAAAGTGTACACCAGACCCTGGCGCACAAAGTCTGCGCTGACCTGGAGTAGCAGGAGTACTCCTGGGACCAACTCATGCAGCGGTGTGACACCATGTGTGGCGTCATGTTGCGCTTGGTGGCACACCTGCCTGACATCGCTGCTTCTTGTTTCCACCCTCCTGCTCTCCTGCTATGCCTATTTCCCCTCCGCCTGCTCCCCCTGCTATTCCTCTGCTCCCTCTCCAAGTGATGCCTATGGCCCCTCCTCCAGTCCCCCCTGCCATCCCTGACTCTGCCCCAACCCCCCCTCCTACTCACCTCTCTGTGCTCCCCAGACCCACCCAAACCTGACGAGGTCCCCACACCCCCGCACCTAACGTGTGTGCAGAAAGAATGCGCAAGAAGTTTTTTCAGAAGATCTCTTCCAAAAAAAGGTTCTTGCTCAAGAAGTTTGTAGTCTAGACCAGTGTTTCTCAACCAGTGGTACAAGTACCCTTAAGGCAACTCGAGAGAAATCTGGGGGGGTACGTCAAGACAACTGAAATTTGGAGAAAACTGAATTTTTGTTTTAAGTTTTACAGCATTTTATTATTTTTGTACTTTTTACACCCAAAAATTTCATCGCTCACTTGGCTACAATTAAGTTGTTTAAACAAATATGTTGCAATGGTAGGAAAAAAAAATTTGTGTCTGAAAACTGTAGGTACTGGGGGTATTTTTTTTTCTTTTTAAGGAAAAGGGGTAATTTATTTTTGTTTGAGAAACACTGGTCTAGCCGTAGTCTGTGTGTTGACTTCTACAAATGAGTAGCCTGGGTACTTTATGGAGTTGAGAGATAAAAGACCACTAGATGGACCCAGTGTCACATCACAGAAATTTATTTGCTGACAATAGACTGATCAAACCATTATGAGAATGCTGCATTTTGCTGCTGCTGGTACCAAAGTTCAGCTTCAACCTCCGTAGCTGATAGGTCTTATGATCTTTAGGGAGTACAGCAGCTCCAGCTTTCTAGGATTCTTTCAGGTGAAGAAGCTGTATTAAACCCAGGAGGGTGGGGCATTATGGGGCCCTTCACTGGAGTGGTATCCCCAGGGGCAGATGACTGTTTTGCGGGGCCCCGGGCAGCATAACTCCGTGGGGCCCCTCCTTTGCCACGGCGCATGCGCCGTGATGTCATGTGCATGCGCGGTGGCACCACGGCGCATGCGCGGGGCTTTTTTAAGCGCGGGGCCTATATCCGCCCCTGGGTATCCCTGTCTCCACTTGCTCCTTCATTCTTTCTGTCTTTCCTCAGAGCACCCCAAACCCTTGCCTTCCCCAGGTACACTTGCAACATCTGAAAGGTCTGGGGAGGCATCCTGATTCCCCACAGTGTACTTATCAGATAGTTTAATGCAGGAGTGGGGAACCTAAGGCCTGGGGGCTGGATGTGGCCCCTGCCTTGCCTAGCTCCCCTTTCTCCAGCATTTGGGTGCCTGAACTGGCACTCCAGCTGCGCTGTCAGCCTCCCATGGGGTAGAGCACACAAAATCTACTAGCTTGGCCCCTATTAGGCTCTGGTGTGTGAGGGAAATGTGGGGAGTGTCTTTCTCCTCACTTTTGTGCAGTCCCCAACTGATTTTTCTCTGGGTCAGCGGCTCCCAATCCAGAAAAGGTTCCCAATCCCTGGTTTAATGGATGGAGAAGCCATATAACGAGCTAGACTATTACCTCATCTCCTGTAATGGCCTCAGGGATGAGTTCCCCACCACTGTCTTTCTGCCCTCAAGAGGATGGAAGTAGTAGAATTTATCCTAAATCCTGTGTGCTAGCAAGAGCTTCTGGAAGAAGAGTTGAGCTGTTATCTACACACCTGACCCAGCTTCAGCTCTCAGTTCTCCCCTCTCTTCTTCCTGTCCTGGCCTAGCCTCTTGTTGTGCAGGTTCTGGGAGAAGCTGGAAGTTCAGTTAACAGCTCAGCTAGGAATTCTGTGCTGTGTTCCAGCAGCATATAAATAGATTGCGAGCCTTCTGTCGTTCTACTCTATAGTACCAAAAGGAAGTCTGATCACTTCCCATGTTTCAGATTTTATACTTCTGTCGATACCGTGCACTAGATGGCAACAAGAAGAGTCTAGCTATTTAAGTTTTGCAGTTACCTTACTCACTGTTTCTTCTCTATTTGGGTATGTCTACACAGCAAAGTTATTTTGAAATAACAGCCTTTATTTAGAAATAACTTTCCTAGCATCTGCACAGCCAAACTGTTTATTTCAAAGTTGGTAATCCTCATTCTACGAGGAATAATGCCAAATTCGAAATAGCT